AATGAATGAATGAATGAATGAATGAATGAATGAATGAACGAATAAATCATGTTATTTTTCAACCGTCATTCAACTCTTCACATGTTATGTTAAATTAATTTCCCACCGTGCTGTAATTCAGCAAATAAATTTACAAAGTGCCGTGATGAAATAAATTAGTGATGGTACGATTATCGAAAATTCGAACTGGTTTCGATTTGTTTACACCGATTCGAGTCCTGACATGTGAAAGAGTTGATGGTTCTTCTTTGTCGTAACTTGCACTAGACGAAATAAACTTCAATTTCTTTTAAAGCTCATTCCAGCTTGTGCTTTCAAAACACTGTCAATGGGATGTTATTATGTAAGATGCAAATTATTGAGTTGACTTTTATTCGGAAAAACTCGAAATCGAATTGACTTTTCGAAATCAAACCGTCACTATTGAGAACACATTTCAGTAACTGAAACCTCTCTCTCTCTCACACACACACACACACACACACACACACACACACACACACACACACACACGCAACACACACACACACGCAACACACACAAACAAACACACACACAAACACACGCACAACACAAACAAACAAACATTCACTGTTTATTAATGCAAAAATAAACTGAACAGGACCGAACAGCGTGGCAAAGGTGACGGTGGACTCCCTGCAGAATGGTTTGTACCAGGTGTCCTACGTGCCCAACGAGGTCGGCGTCTTCGAGGTGGTGGTCACTTGGAATGGACGGGATGTCAAAGGTTCAGTGCACCTTAGTTGTTTTTTTGTTCTTATAGGTTTAAATATTTTTCATGTATTTAAACTAAATTAATGAATGCTGTTCATATATCACATTCAACATATAACACATATATTTCTACATTCAATGTGTATATACTAAATATCATTATAAGTTTACGCAGCATGTATGATCATAAACTGAAGTTCAAATGGATTCTTGCAGGCAGCCCATTCAAGCCCCGCATCTTCGACATAACGAAGGTGAGGGTGAAAGGAGGGTGGGACAGTTTGATTGACCCGACGACAAAAACGATGGACCTCAAAAAAGATGTTGTCAACAAGATCCAATTGAACACGTGGGAGGCTGGCGGGGGAACGATCGTGGCGGAGGTTATCAAAGATGGCAGACCGGAACATGTTGACGTCACGAGGCTAGATGACCATCAATATATGGTGTCTTTTGTACCCCACGACACTGGTAATTGATACTTTTTGTATTTTGTTTATTTGGATGATATGTTGTATTGTTGTATTCTCGTCAAAATTTGAGATTTGAGAAGTCGATAACCTGCCCTGCTGAAACAGGTGACTACCAGATAAATATGATGTTTGAAAGTAGATTTTTACCAAACTGTCCGATCACTGGGGTGACGCTGCCCGCTTTCCACGATGCCCTGAATGGCAAAATGAACGATGGCAGAACGAACTTCCTGCCGCCAACGAATGACGTGAACGCGAGCGAAGTGATCACATCTGGCAAGGGACTGACGGTGGCATTCCTCGGTCAGCCCAGCGAATTCATTGTAGATGGTACGTTGGCTGGTCCTGGTCAACCGGAAGCCAAGTTGAGAGGGTTCAACGGACCTGCAGTCCCTGTGGGGTTCTCGAGAGTTAATCAAGACATCTACAAATGCCAATATGTACCCAAAACATTAGGTTCTTTGCCAAGTTTTTTTGTAATTAATCATAATTTAAATACCATCTTTTCAGTTATTATATAACAATGCTAAAGTTTTCATTGGCAATGGAACTCGTTGTATCGATTTTTCAATGACCTAATTGGACGAAACGCAGGATCCCACATTTTGACGATCAACTGGTCAGGTGAAGCAGTGCCTGGCTCGCCCTTCAAACTGAACGTCACTGAAGTCAGCGATCCTTCGAAGGTCATCTGCACGGGGGATGGCTTGAAGAGGGGCATCTTTGGCGAGGATATCAGTGCCTACGTTGATACGCGAGTAGCTGGGGAAGGTTTTTAAACTTTTACTGGCTTAGAATTGTTTGCACTATTAATTTTTTGTTGATTTCATTCCATACATGTTTCATGATTTGAAAAGCAAAAAATTAGAATTGTAGTCATTAAAATACACTTTTTGAACGCTTAAAATAGGCATATGTCTTACAACTGCTTTGTAGGTACAACTTGTAACTGTGAGATAATTTGGGTCATCTTAAATGACTTCACAGGTATGTTGGACGTCTGCTGTACCGGAAATTCAACGGAAGCTTCCTTCACGTTAAGAAATGTAGAAGATAGAATTCACGTGTTAACACTGCGCCCCCGGGAGTTGGGAAGGCATCGGCTGGAGATCCTCTTTGCAGGCAAGCACGTTCCAGGTCGAACATTTTAAATATTTATTCACTTAATGATATCGAGTTCATTTGTAAATTGTTGCAATGTTATTCAATTTTTCCAGTGTTGTTTGTGCATCGCGCGGTGTATGATTAAGTTGATGGGTGAGTCATGGTGGCCTACCTAATGATTGGCAGTGTTTGTTGTGCACGATATTTTTGTTTTCATGCACACGTGATGATCGTATGCTAAAAACACCGTTCGTGATGGCGCTATATAAATAATTTAATTGACGGATTGAAAATAATTTTGTTATCTTCGATTTTATGGTGTCCATAATTTGCTGGTTTAGTGAATATTTTCCGTTACACTGAGACAAATAAATTTTTTTATTAATTTGAACGAAGGGAGTCCCTTTTCGTTGAAGATATCTCCGCCACCTGACGCCAGCGTTGTGAAAGTTTTTGGCCCCGGGATCGAGAACGGCCTGCTGCACAACTTTCAAAGTCACTTCTACGTGGACACGACAGGGGCCGGTGCAGGTCAGCTGGTGGTCAGAGTTAGAGGGCCGAAGCGAGCATTTTGTGTTGAGATGCAGAGAGATGAGAGGAAATTTCGCTTGATCAAGTGCCGTTACGAACCGACAGAGACTGGAAAGTACTGGGTTCAGGTTGGCAAATCAGCACGATTGCTTAAATGATGGCTTCGTATGTTACTCTTCCCCCCATTAACATGTTTGTTATGTTCATTAATATTTATTTGTAATACTTGTTCGCGCAATAACTTGACAACTGTGACAAGTTTCGCAGTAAAAAGTGCATGTTCGTAAGAAGTGCATGTTCGTAAGAAGTGCATGTTCGTTGCAGATCTCCTGGTCAGGGGTGAACGTGCCACACAGTCCATTCGAGGTGAACATCGTGGACACGATGGACGAGTTGAACAAAGTGATGAGGCAGACTCCTACAGCCGCCTCTCAGGTGCTCCCGCTCATGTACGAATCCAGACGAGCGTATGATTATAGCGAAATAAATAGCGATTACCCTGAAGTTGGTTCTCATTTTCCTTCCAGTAAGAACAATGGCGCTAGTTATTTTGATCCAGGGAATTTAAATAACGATGGCGATGGTGGCGCTTTTCGGCAATTCAACGAACCGAGTCAGATTTTCGCAGCACAGACCAATCCGGTGCCATCCTCGTCCCATTCCCTCCACCTGCCGCTTCCTTCGCCAAGACAAAGTTTGAATAACGTACCGCTGCTAAGAAGAACAAAAGATTTTTGATGATATTTTCAACGATCCGTTCCGTTTGTCACACCGAATGAATGAATGAGTGAGTGAGTGAGTGAGTGAGTGAGTGAGTGAGTGAGTGAGTGAGTGAGTGAGTGAGTGAGTGAGTGAGTGAGTGAGTGAGTGAGTGAGTGAGTGAGTGAGTGAGTGAGTGAGTGAGTGAGTGAGTGAGTGAGTGAGTGAGTGAGTGAGTGAGTGAGTGAGTGAGTGAGTGAGAGTGAGTGAGTGAGAGTGAGTGAGCGTTAAAGTATAAATGAAAAAAAAAATAAAAATCTCAAACATGATCAAATCCCAGCAAGAAGAGGTGTAACATTTCTATGATATTTCAGGTTCTTCAGTAATAACGCTGCTCATGTTTTTCATAAACGATTGACTCACTCAACTTTTAAACCACTTCATAGTGCCTTATGGGCAGTTTTCATCGTTTCCATTGATGCCTAATAAGTACGTGAAAGTAGCGAGTAGACTCGGTTTGAAAATTTTTAAAATCCTCAACGCCATACAAGAAGGAATGTATTATTGTCTAAAAAAGAAGCAAGAAAATGGCGTTAATGATTACAATTAATTAACCATTATTTTAATTATAATTAATCGTTATTCTAATTATAATTAATCATTCTTGATTACTGTTAAATTCTAGTAGCTAAAAATAAGCGGCGTACAACTTATCAAAATGTTCACATTTTTGAAAAGCATTTCTACGTTTTCTGGCAGCTAAGCTATGGAATGAGAAACTCAAACGGCTTTTACGTCGTTACCGAGTTAAATTATATTCTGTTATTCTTTATAATGAGTGTTTAATAATGCGTCTTTCTAGCATCTCGAAAGCGCAATTCAGGCGAAATTTTATTACTATCTTACTATATTATGATTACCTTATGATCTTATTCATTGATGAATGACGGTTGTTATCGTAAATGATGCACCTGTGATGTAATTATATTTAACCATTTGATTCGTTTTTATTTAGTTTGGTTTTGTCAATTTTATCATTTTACTAACAGGTTTTACTTTCACTTTCTTCTTCTTCGCGGTTTTTTCTTTTTGTTTTTATAAATATTCGGTTGCATTTCTAATCATTCACCTCAAGTTTTTTAACTATATTTTTTTATATTTGTTTATAACTCTGGTGCCTTGTTATACACAAACACAGACACCCTAGACACACACACACACACAAACATACACATAAATAAACACACACTCAGATATATATAAACACACACATATAATCTTTTTATTAGTTAATAATAAAAGCTTTCAATTGTAAAATACGGTTTGCTAATAAAATAAAAAAAATACGTAAAATAGTTTATTGTTTAAAGAACTAAACAACAAGAACAACGAGAGTAAGAAGTTAAATCTCGACCCGAAAGCATTAGCAAGAACATTTAGTAACAAAAACAAGAATAATAATGGTCTTATTGATTTATTTAAAACGCCAAAAATATCAAAAAAGTGACTAAACAGAAATTTTATTGATGTGGCGGAAATGTATGAAAGTTTCAGCAATGTCTCTCAATATCAATCGGACAATCCTATCAAATAAAATAATTAGCTACAAGTTAGCTTGGGAATTTACCAGATTCGCATTTTAGTAGCCATAGACAGACTTCACATCATCACATCATTTGTCTTGTTCGTGAGACATACCTATACGCGCACACAGACACGCACACACAAATGCAAGACACACACATAGCAGGTAGCGTTATTTATTAGACCCATTGAATGTTTGTTTAACGACTTCAGCTATATATAAAATGATGACTGCTCTTGCCTGGATTGAATTGAATTTGACTGAAAAGTTGACTGTTTAAGCTAAAATAATAACAATAAAAAAAGATGAACAAGAATAACAATAATAAGTGGCAACTTTACTACTATAATGACTTTTACTTAATGCTGATGATTAATGAATGAATTGACAAGTTGCAGATGACTAGAGACTGAGTTACTTTCTAAATATGAGTGATGCATGGGGTTGACAAATGTCAGTTGTTGTAGAGAGTGCTGTGGTGGCTGTTGCAGCTGCTGCTGAGGCTGCAATATGTGTTGTTGTTGTTGTTTTTGGAAATGTTGTTGTCGTGTGTAGCGTTGTTCATGATTGTGTTGTTGTTGCGTGTGGTGTTGTTCATGGTTGTGCTGTTGTCGGTTAACGAGATATTGAATTTGTTGTAAGGCTGGCCAGGTTGTCGTTAATTTCTGTGACTGATGATAAGTGATTTGGGAGTGGCGTTGCTTAAATAGTTGCTGTCGTTCATCGGTGGTTTGCTGCTGCTGCTGCTGCTGATAGAGATGATCTTGCGTAATTCGTTGCAGTTCCTGTCCTACTTGTTGATGATGTTGCGCGCTTTGTTGGAACAATTCCTCATCATGGTGACAATTCGCTTGAGAGACAAAACGATCATCGTCGTTTGTTGGCAAAAGTTGTTGAGGCGGGCTAGATGTTAATATGGCAAGTAAGTATGAATCATTAACGTTCGAGAAGCCGTTGCTATTTTGTGCTGGTTTCTGTTGTGTCGGTTGATGAAATTGTAATTGCTGTTGTAATTGTTGTTGTGGTTGTTGTTGTGGTCGTTGTTGTGATTGTTGTTGTGGGTGTTGTTGCAACTGTTGTGGTGATTGTGGTTGTTGTTGTGATTGTGGTTGTTGTTGTGATTGTTGTCGTGGTTGTTGTTGTTGTTGCGATTGTTGTGAAGGATCATCATCAAAACTCTCATCCTCCTTTGAAACTTCATTGGCCGATCGTCCCTTAAGAGGTGTACCCCCCTTGTACCTGCAGTGCATCAGGGCATGCCTCCTCATGTTCGAAGGAGTCTTGAAGCACTGACGACATTTCACACAAACAAAGGGCCGTCTGTCGCCGTGAGCCAGCAAGTGCAGTTTCAAGTCAGCTTCCCTGGTATACTTTTTTGGGCAGAGGTGGCAGGCCAGCATGCTGGAAGGATCGTGCGAACGTGAGTGTAACATCAAATTTCGTTTGTGTTTAAATGACTTGCCGCAAGTTTTACAAATGTTCTGGTTGCCGCGTGATACATTATTCGAGCAATGAACATTTACCACGTGAGCACGCAAATTCTGTGGACTTGAAAACTTTTTGTCGCATTTGTCGCATTGAAAGCCACGTTCGCCGTGCGTGAAGGAATGTTGACGCAACGAGGAGGAGCGTTTGAAGCGCTTGCCACACTCGCTGCATTGGTAGCAGGCTTCGGACCGGTGAACGGCAGCATGCGACCGCAGACAGCTTTCTAGTTTGAACGTCTTCCCGCATTTATCGCACGAGTACGGCCTCGCATTTTTATGCGTTCGCGAATGTTCAACAAGATGGCAACGTCGCTTGAACTGTCTGGAGCATTCCGGACATGAAAATTTATCAGTTCTGGAATGAGAGTAAGAATGATTGCGGAGGTAGACGGGGTTTGTGAAGGTCAAAGGGCAGAGTTTGCACTTGAAACGATCTGCTGTTGGTTCAGAAGATAAGTGGACGTGCTGGTGACGTTTCAGATCGATTGAATAAATGAACCGTTTGTCGCACTTGTCGCACTTGTGCTTTTTGGTTATAATGATCTTCTGTGGTTTCGTGTTGACGCTGTTTGCATCTGAATCCTCTTGAAAGGAAATAAGACCAGGTTTTGAATCAGCATCAACTTCGCCCCTGCTGAGCTTATCTTTCAAATTAGATTTCGCAGCAGAATGTTTGTGCAATTTATACCTCACCATAGTGCGAAACGATTTCTTACAAAAGTTACATTTGAAAAGAATGGTTGAGCCGTGAACATCTTGCAAATGTTGAATGAGTGAATCTTCAGAATCCAATTTTACATCACAATTTAAACAGGCATTTGAACTTTTGTTGATCGAGAGTGGCCTGCCTGCCTGAGTTTCCTGGCTTGAACAATTCATCCTTGAATTCTTTTCATGAATTTTCACCTCAACCTTCAACTTTTTTGAACGTGTGACAACTCCACTGCTGGTTTTTGTAGCAGCTTCGACAACTTCTTCATTAGGAACATTTCCTTCATCGGCCTGGACATTCTTTGAAGCATTACGAGAACCATCATGTGAGGCCACGGAATCTATGATGTTGTGAGCATTTTAAAAATTATTTCCAAATGAAATTCTGAAATAAAAAATTTTTCAGTTGGAAAAAAAAACTGAACTCTGCCATCAGATTAACAAACTCAAAAACAAACAAACAACTCCAGTAATGTTTGTGAAGTAACTTAAATCTAACAACAAAGGCATAAAGATAGCTGAATGATAAAAATGCAAATCTTTAATTAATGAAGACTTTCATTACTATTGTATAATGATCAATAGTAAGTAGTTAACAATTGATCAAACACATCCTCAAATTCACATCAACATTATTTTTCAACTAGAACTACAAAGACAGCAATTTTTGCTGCACTTACAATATAAATAATCATTCAGGCATAATTCAAGTGTAATTCAAATTTTTGTTTCACAATAAACAGGACAAACGCATCTCCAACTAAATTTTAACTACTAAGCGAACAAAGTCAAAAGATATCATTTCAAAAGACTTACAGCAGAACTGTTTGAAAGCCAGAATGAGGTCGTTGTGCATCTCCATGAAGCGCTGCCCCGCATCACTGCACCTGACTTGTACATCTCCATTACCATCTTCATCGGCGTATTTCAAATCTACTGCTAACAAAATGAACTGAACCTGGTGATCAGTGTTCTTCTTCAACTGTTCACTCTGTAGTGTGTGAGTTTTCAAAATTGTACAAATTGATATTATTTGAAAGAATTCATAAAAATTTATTTAATATAAAATCAAACCAACGTCACTAAACATTTTTGATGAGATTCCTCAAAAGTCCAGAGCCACTCCTCATCATATTTGTGAATGTGCCAATACAATGTTTTTGTTACTGTGGTTTACATTTCATTTAGAGGTTTCACTGGTTTCACTAACAACTCAAAAATATGTTTAATTTTTTTCGATTTCAAAGTTGAAAAAAACACAATTTATTAATTTTAAACAACTTAATTTTTAAAAATGTAGCAATATATTTAAAAAAAAAAAATAAATTTATCGAAAATTACATCAATCTATTTTCGGATTCCGTGTTATAAAAAAATTGCTAATTAATTTATTAGTTCGAGCGATAATGTAAATCTGTTTTTGATACGAAATCAATCTATTTTCCTAATTTTACGCTGAATTGTTCATGAAACTTTTGTTAGCGATTCACACAAATGTCAAATAAAAAGTTAGAAGCTGATAAAAATCAAAATAATTATCATTAAAGCATCTGGATCGAGGTCCGTCTAAAAGTCAAAACTACCTGTTCGAAATGTTTTTTCCAAATACTTGCGAGGTGATGGCAGGTTTCATAGGCGGGAGAAATGTGAACATGAGTAGTTCTTCGAATAATTCCTTTGTTCACGATGCATTCAAAAGTAATTTTTCATCTTCTGGAATAACGAGCAAGAAAGATGAGTCGGTGTCAGGGTTTTCTGGCACGCCCAGTAGTTGTCAACTTCTTAATTGCCCTGAATGTTCTAAGCCTTGCTCTAGCTATGCCCTCAACAACTCACAAGTTTGTCAAGTTCCGGATTCTAATTGTTTCAATTGTAATGTTTGTTATGCAAGATTTACTGCCCTAAGAGATCTAGAGGCTCATGCGGCCACAAAAGTTAGTTACTACTGCTGTATGTGCCATGCCGGTTTTCATTGCAGGGAGCGCTACGAAAGCCATATTGCCGAACACAAAACAAGCCCATTGACACAACAAAATAATTTGCAACAGCTGTCTGGCAGTTGCGACAGAAATCAGAAAAACACGCACAACTTTGCGGTGGATAAATTGGCATCAAATTCCAATTTTCTTCCATCCATCTCCAACTCAACATCAACAACGACCAACCAACTGACTGCATTTACTGATATAACAAAATCTCAACACGGGACCTTCTACAATGTCAGCAATGCTCTCCAGTCTACAAATTACTTGGATCAAAATCAAACAATGAAAGTGACAGAGTCGGATTCACTGATTTACCAAAATAACCGATGGCAAAACAAAAATGATAACTTCATGGACGGAACGAACAACTGTCAGAAATCAAATAATAACAATGCAGGAGGCATCGAAGGTGTCAACAACAACAATTGTGAATTTATGCAACCAGGCATGCAACCTGGAGATAATAAACTTGCAAATGCACTGAAGGAAGGCAGCACACAGAACGAAGGAGACAAAGCAGCCGACACCAACTTATCGTTTGTACAGTTTTCTGATCACATGCATCAGAACCAGTTACTCTGCACTCTTTGTGGCAAATCATTCAAATCCAAAGTGACACTGAGCAAGCATGCACGATCTGTTCACAAGGTGGAAGGTGGTGCCGGAGCTGACTTTCTCGACTTCCTCTCCTCCTCCATGACGGCTGCAGGTCTACAGCAAACGTCGTCACCTAACTCTGCAGTACCTGGTCTAGACAAAATTAATTTACTAGAAAGTTCATCACTTGGTGATGCTGTGTTAAGTGTGGTCTCCAGAGAGCAAGTGTCAACGTTGGTTGGAGAGGTCACCGGAGATGAGAGGAAGACAGCATCTGCTGGACAAGTGGAAGGAGATGGACTGGTCAAGAAAAGAAGAAATCAATTCAGGAGTGGTCTGGACATATCCATGTTACCCAGGTACCGAACGAGCCGAGTGAGGTATGTCTGTGATGTTTGTGACAAAGAGTTCATTGATAAGATGAAGCATCGGGTCCATGTTAGAACTCACACGGGAGAAAAACCTTATGCTTGTGAAATCTGCAACAAAAGGTTCAACACGAGATCACAGGTCAACCGACACCACCTTCACATACATGAACTGGAAGGTAAGCCTAGAAGTCGTCAATTTAGAAACCAGTTAACTGGAGGTGGTAGGAAGAGACCTTCGGCGTCTACTGATCAAGTAAATAACAACAACAGTGCGAGCATTGAACACAGCACCATCGCCAGCAATGTTTTGAACTCATCTGAAGAGATGCATCACTCTGATTTGACCAACAACAACACAGTCAACAACAGTACAAGCGGAGACTCAGATCCCCTCGCTAACTCCATCATTTATTGTTCGAAGACAGGCCAGCCAGTTGAGATGAATGATTCATCAAATAGTTCTCATCGTCGTCGTCGTGGACTCCATCGAATCTACTTTTGCCCGGTTTGCGGCAAGCCCTTCCGAGACAAGGTGAAGCATGCCGTCCACCTGAGAACTCACACGGGTGAAAAACCACACTCCTGCGTCATCTGCGACAAACGTTTCAACACGCGCTCTCAAGTTAACAGGCACATGACTGTTCACAAATCGGTGTTTCAGTCCCAGCTTGATGGGCACTACCTTGATGATAGCGGTTCTGTCGTGGGGGGCATCAAATCTGAGGAGGTTGGACATGAATCAGCTGGTAGAGAGATGGATCATCAACAAAAACAAGCCACCGAGAGTCAGGTCAGTGTAGATGATCCCACCAACAACAGCAATGTTACCAACAGCAGCATCAACAACAACAACACAACTATTGGTGTGGTTATTGCTAATCCAGCTCTCTCAACTCAGATGACATCGACCCCAAAGATGGCCATTCGTAAAAAGAGAACTCGTGATTGGGAGCAGAGTCACATGTGCAACTTATGTGGACAGAACTTTGCCACACCCTCTGGACTCTCCTCGCACACTCGCAATCGCCACAAGGATCAGCTGATCTTCAACCACCACCTGCTGGAGTCGAATGCAGCCAACGGTGCCAACAACGGTGAACCGATTAGAACTAGTGACGGGTCGAGAGTCTGTCCTGTTTGTGGGAAGGCCTTCAGGGCGGCGAACAGTTTGAGGATGCACATGGTGAGGCACAGTACTGTTAAACCACACAAGTGTCCGGTCTGTGATAAGTCCTTCATCACCAAGTTTGAGTCAAATCGTTGTCAACGGCGACACAGCAAACCTGCGAAAGTTGGGGATCAAATCATTGATGATTGCCAGCAACAACAGCAACAACAACAACAAGTTATTAATAAATCAACATTAAATAATAACAGCAACAACAATGCCAACAACAGTAGCAGTAGCAACAACACTGCTAACAATGTGATTACTCATCTTGGCAACAACACAACTAACAACAACAATAATAATAATAATAATAATAATAATAATAATAGTACTAACAACAATCCCACCAACAATAGCGGTAGCAACAATAACACCAACAATTTGATTCAAGTGAACATTGTTGCAGCTGCTGTTGAAAACTTAGCAGCCAGCAGAACGGCTGCAAGTTATCAAAAGGCAGACGACATTCAGTCAAACCAACAACAACAACAGCAGCAAGAAACTGTCAACCTCTCTATTGCAACCAACTTCATAGACAGTGCTGCAAGCAATCTTCCAGTTAATCTATCGAGCCAAGAGAATTGGCTGCAACAGAGCTACTCCACCAACTCTATGCAACAACAACTACAGCAACAGCAACAACACTTCATATCGCAGTCGACTGCATCGCAGCCGTATCAGCAGCAGAACCTGTTGCACCAATACCAACTTCTACAGCAACCTCACAGTTTCATACACGACACCATGCTGCAAACATTGACTCACGACATGCTGATCCAGCAGCAGCAACATAACTACCAGCAACAACAACAACAGCAGCAGCAACAACAGCAGCAACAACAACAACAACAACCACAATATCATGATTCTCCCAATGGTTCCAAGAGAAGAAGAAAAATTGTTTAATTCAACTTATTACCATCAAATGATTAAATAACACTGGTTAGTGATCGTGAAAATGAACATGGAAATATTATTCTGTTCGATATCACCAATGCCACCAACAACAACAACAACAGCAACAACAATATAAATAATAAGTTATAATAATAATAACTGATAATAATAACGTTTAAACGAGCTTTCAACCAACCATATTTATCATCAACCATTCATTCACTGACAACTAACTAGCTTTATATGTATGAACTCTCAGTTTATTTTTTAGTAAAAATAGCGACTTCATGGGCTTTCCATGATGACCTATTTAAATCAGCCACTGTGGTGACTTATTTAAATTAGCCTCCACCGTGATGACCCAGTTTAATTGACCAATCAGACTGGTCCCTTTTTGTCTCCATGGATCTAATTAAAATATTTAAATTTGAATGTTAATTGGTGGACTTATTGACCACAAAATTATTAAAAAAAAAACTAACATTCATTTAGTCGACAAAATTCTTAATTATTACCAATTTTATTGTAATTAGTAATTTTTTTCGTTAAAAAATTTAACTTTTTTCATTCTTAGTTTTTTGTTATTATTTACATTGTTTTAATGGCTTATATTTGTAATATTATTAACATTTTAATTGTTGATCATCCATATATATATACATGTATGTATATATATATGTGTATATGTATATATATATATATATATATATATATATATATATATATATATATATATATATATATATATGTATGTTATCACCACCATCATCATCATGAAATGAAACAATTTTTGTATATATATATATATATATACTATGGGATTATGAACTTGTAAATATATTATAGTGTATATGTACATTATTTATAGAGAGCAACACGTTTATTTAAATACATCTTGAATTATTATTATTATTACTATTCATATTATTATTATTCAATGTTATAGACATTAACATTAATTATTTAATTAATTACCGTTATTATGTAAATCATATTATTATATGTCATATTTTTTATGAACACTTAATATTGTTATTTACGTGATTGTTATGCGATGAATAATGATTATTATTATTTTTAATTATTATTAATTTTATTATTATCATTATTATAAGAATCCTTTTTCTACTTGTATGATAGATCAGAAACGTCATTATCCATTTTATTATTATTGTTGTTGTTGTTATTAGTTTTGTTATTTTTTTAATTATCATTATTATTATTAAGTACATATTTTGATTTGCCACGATAGATTTTGTCACATCTCTCTGTTTCCATTTCGTCGTCTTAATCACTTTTTTTGGCCTATATAATATATAAACTCACCATGCTTTGTTATTGTTATTATTGTTATTGTTGTTATTATTGTTATTATTAATGTTATTATTGTTATTTTTTGTATATATATATGGTTATTTCAATTCTTATTATCGAAATCGTTATTATTGCGATAATTATTGTAGCTATTATCCTCGTTCACTCTTTGTGGATATTTTGGATCTTTATGGATTAACAAATGTTATTATTATTATTACAATTATTACGAATATTATTATTATTATTATTTTTAATATTTAATTATTTCGGCTTGTTATTTTTTTCGTTGAACGTTTTTTCATGCAGAGCATTATATGAACGATAGGAGAAACATACAATGTCTTGTGTGTTTATCTATAACACGGGCAACATCATTGTAACATGTGTGTATGTTTATATGTATGTATATATCTATCTACCCCTACACACATTATTTTTACTGTGTGCTTTGTTTTTGTGTGTGTCTGTGTGTGTTTGTGTGTGTCTCATTTTAGAGTTTGGTTTTTCATTATTTCTATTAATACTGTTGTTATCAACGCTGGCCTACAACTTCTGTTCCTCATACATATATATATGTATGTATATATATATATATGTATGTATGTATGTATATATTTATATGTATATGTATGTATGTGTATGTATGTATGTGTATTTGTGTGTGTGTATGTGTGCGCGCGTTTGAATGTATGTTTATATGTTAATACACATTGAATTGTAAACAATATTTATAATTAATTTCTTAGATTTAAGCGCTGTTAATGTTGATCAATTAATTAATTAATTAAAACTTAGATGCTCGTACTGAACTATTAAAATATAATTATATATATATAATTTCTTTATATGTATATCGGCTAACCTGGTCTTTGAATATAGGTTTATCTACTTTTATGTTCTGAGTTGCATCATAGTTGGTCAACTTATTAATTTTATGTGTGTGTATGTTTGTGTGTGTGTGTGTACGTACGTGGTGTGTGTATGTGTATGTGTGAGTTTGTATGTGTATGTGTGAGTTTGTATGAGTATATGTGTATGTGTGAGTCTTCATGGTTTTTAACGTACATTGTTGTGTATGTTGTTTATTGGCCAACTTGCACTACTACTACAGACTGAGGCTTTGTTTAATTTTTTCCAGATTGTGTGTTTGTGTAGATGGATGTGACTTTTGCTACTTCTGATTTCTGATTTTTTCATTTCGGCTCTTCTTCATACAAATTTTATCCTTGCGGATTTATATGTAAAGGCAAGTTTAATTTTTTTTGGTTATTTCTTTGTTTGTTTACTTTATTTGTTTAGATATACAAATAAACTTATTACACTATATATATATATATATATATATATATATATATATATATATATATATATGTATATATATATGATATACGCTATTCAAATTGTTATTATTATTATTTTCATTATTATTAAGTTTTGGTGGACAATGAAGCTGTTTGTGGTCTGTATGTGATGTTTATGTGATGAAGATGATGATTCTTTTTTGAATTTTACAGGGTTCATAAAGATATATATATATATATATATGTATATATATATATATATGTATATATGTATATATATATATATATTATAGTAATTTGAAAGTTGCTTTACGTATATTACATTTGTTTGTTTTAAAACGTTCTATTGAATTGAAAACATTTGGACAAGTGATAGATGGATGGATGGGTGGATGGATGGATGAATGGGGTGATTGGATTGGCTGATGGTTGGATGACTAAATTTTTGGTTAGGTTGATTGATTGATTGATAAATGAATGGTGAATGAATGTTTGGATGAATGAACGAACGATTGTTTGATGGATGGATGGTTCGATTGTTTTATAATTGAATGCAAATTTTTCTTCTTTCTTCGTTTAAACGAGGTCACGTAGATATAACAAATTCATTGGTTATTATATTATATTCTTCAATTGTAATATTTTTGTTTTTAATCATTGGCGTAATTAATTATATTTTTTTATTTTCTATTTTATTTTTCATTGTTTCTTATATTTCGTTCAAATTGTCTGGAAATATATACATTTTTTCATTATCTTGATCACACACATTATGTGTATTTTTAAAAATGCTAACACTTGTACAGCACAGCAAGACAACCTAATAACGAAAGGAAACGAAATTTCGAAAAGAAAATAATCGTAAAAGGAGGTAGCGGTTTGTTTTTTTTTGGCAGGAAAGTTGCATATCCAAGTAGGGTATGGTGGGCCAAGCGTAGAAGGAATTACTAAAGAATACTGATGATTAAATTGTAAGATTTTCGCCTGTGTGCGTGCGTGTGTTTGTGCGTGCGTGCGTGTGTGTGTGTGTAAGTGAGAAAGAGACAATGTCTTTCTGTATCTGTGTGTGCGCGCGGTACGAGGATGCATTAAATGTTTCTGATTCACTCATTCGTTCCTTCATTAGTATTTCAATTTTTGTTATCAAGACATTGTTGGATGGGGAGGGTTGGTGGAAAGCTTACTTGCATGCCATCCTGGATAACTTCCTGTTGATCGTCATGAGAGGGTTGTATAGGTAATGTGGCGACGAAATGGAGAACTATTTATGTATATAAGTATATATATGTATGTATGTATGTATATATATATATATATATATACCATTTACATATGAGTTAAATTGCTTAACATTTTGAATCTTGTATAATCATTAATTTATGAATTTTAATGTTTTTTTTGCTTCCAAATTTAATTTAATTGATTAATATCTTAAGTATATATACATCTTATATATATATATATATATATATATATATATATATATATATATTGTATTTATATATAGTTTGTGCGTAGGTTTATTTTGAGAAGATTTATCATTATGTTTTTTTTATTGCACCCTTTCATTAGTTGATAATATAATATACGGTCTGAAAGTACAACTGCGAGTTTCATTCAATTATTCATATAAGAATTGAAATATAGCGTGATAGTGTAATGCTTAAACTTCCTGCTTCTGCAGTGTTGTTGTTGCTGGCGTTGTTATTGCTGTTTTTGATAGCTCTGGCCTGAATACTGCAATATAAGAACTGAATGTAAATTGCCCATAGACTGACTGCCATCTTATTCCACGTGTTTTATACTTCAAGTGTAACTTCAATTTTGCCCTTGCTTCCAACAGTGTTGGTGACTGAAGGGAATCGTTTGAAAAATTTCTGTCTAAAGTTCTACGTTGTTTTGTAGTTGTACATGCATGTTGTCAGGCTTTCAGTCCGGTTATTCGTTCATTTGGTACCTCCCTATCAGTTTTGGCTAATACAGATCTAATCACTTTTAACACATTAAAAGTGAATTCTATACGAAAAATTGCGGCTTGTTCTACGATGAACTGTTCTTATGTATGTTCTGTTATGTATGGTTGGTTAGTTGAGTTAGTGTTTGTTTGTTCGCTACCGAAGTAGATGATAACGTAAGTTTTGCAATCAGGAAATTATTTGCCTGGAAGACTGTCCTTCTTTTAATTTAGTAATAGTTAGATTTTTTAGTTTTTCTTTTTAACTTTAAAATAAGTTTAATTAACTAACTTTATTTATTTACTTACTACTATTTTAATTTGTTATTTAAGTTTTAAAAAGATTAAAGTATTAATAACTAACTTTTAATAAAATAATAAGTAAAGGATTATTAAGTCATCTCATGCATATATAAGCCTAGCCCATAAATGACATGACATGACTTACTAACACTTAATCTTAATTCTTTATTTTTTTAATAAACAACTCTGGTAGAATATTACAAGAATAAGTCATATAAGACATAAGACTCATGTCATAAGTGCTAGGAAGTTGACATCATTTTATCTTTCCATATACCTGGCAAGCATTGCATCTTCCTACAACCTTCATCATATAAAATACATCAAATTAAACATGGGTGGGAATGAGACAGTTTCCAAAGCGGTTGTCGGTGAAGAAGAAGTCATCCATGAAGGAGAGGTCATCGAAAATGAACCACCAAGTGTTTTACTGGAGATTTTTAATAATGTTAGTGGTTAGTTCGGTTCAATATTATAGTTTAGTATGATATATTAATTATTATTATGAAATAAAAGATGAAGAAGATTGACAAGCTGGGTATCCATTCTGTTTTCATATCATTCGAGCCGACAACAGGCCAGCTGTATACAGCGACCACCTCTCAAGCCCAGACTTTTGTCAACAATTCAGATGTAGCTGAGAAGTTTGTCAACCTTTTCACAAGTCAGTGATGGAAATTGATTGTATTCATTGTGATGCATGTGTTTGTGTGTGTCTTGTTTTTTTCAAAAAACTTCAATATAGTTTATATATTTTTAATTTTTCATAACAACAGCACTAAAGACTTCAGCCCAACAGTCTGTTGATGTCATCAAGTTAAATTTTTCGAGTTAGATGATTTCAAGGGGTTTGGTGTGGTGTGGTGTGGTGTGATGTAGGTGTTGGTTAGATGAAATTGTTTCGTCTTTGATATCTATGATTGATTGGTTGGTTTGTTGATTGGTTTGTTAATTGACATTGATTAAACTGGATAATTGACTGCTTTATTAATTGATTAATTAATCCAAATTTACTTCTTTGATTGGCTAAATGACTGATCGTTAAATTAAATAATAACTTTTAATTTGTTTTATGGTTTATCTGTAACAGAAACATTCACATTTTTCTCAATCCTTACAATCCATTGTAATTAGATTCTGAATATATATTTTAGGCTGTTGTTGTTAATTATAATTTTAACTGAAAATTAATATCCTTTGCAGAACTTGAACCAGTGCTTGTAAAAAATGCAGATGATGAGGTTGTTGCATTAGTTAATTATTTTTTGTTGTTAACTCCGATTTTATCAGCTAATTGATTTGTAACCAATTAAATGACTAATTAATTATTTTATTTAATTCAGTTAATTTATTTAATTTAGGAGAAGCTTATTTCAACTATTTTTTGAAATATTCTTTCGAATATAATTGATACAGAAAAAATAACTAAAAAATTTTTTATTCTCCCAGGCAGATGATGATGATGTGTATGATGGTGATGATAAAGTTATCAGCGCTAGAAATGAACATCACATGTGTTCTGATAACGATGACGATGTTAATAATTACAACAACAACAATAATAATAATAATAATAATAATGGTAATGCTGATGAAGATGGTAATGGTAATTACAAAAATGTCATTGATGGTATGAACTGTACAAACAATCATGGTGACAACAACAACAACAACAATAGTGATGACGACGACGATGATGATGGTGACGATAGTGCCAGACAAAATGACGATGATGAGGAGGAGAATGATGAAGACGATGAGGATGATGACGATGTCAGTTTTAATAGCACCGATTGCAAGAATTATCTCAAAATAAAAAGAAAATGTCTCGACAAAAATTATATCGATAATAAAATCTCTAATAAGACTAATAGACGGGGTAATAATTTTAATAGAAATAGAAACCGCGAGAATAACAATAATAATAATAATGATGATGATGGTGATGACAAAACTGTTTCAGATTTAATAGCGAGCATAATTAAAAATAAATTTAAAATTTTCCCAGCCCTCTCAAACCCCGCTGGCCCACAGAAAGTTCGAAAGTATAAAAAAAGAACAAAAAATGACCTCGTGACCTCCACTGAGTACAAGTGCACTGTCTGCGATAAGGTCCTCAGGTACAAGAGCACCCTGAAAGAGCACATGAAACTGCACACTGGTTTTGATAAGAAGTTTGCCTGCGACCAGTGCAGCTCCAGGTTTCGGCACATTTCTAAGTTGAAGGTGACGACGGGGCAGTGGTTTTTGTTTGATCAATTGTTATTTAGTCCATCCATCTATCCATCATTCATTTGTCTGTCCATCCATCTATCCTTCAACTCTGCTATTTGATTACCCATTCATCTATTCGTCCATCTATCTATCCACCAATCAACTCAGCCATCAAACCGCCACCCACCCACCCACCTAACAGCAACACATGTCGGTGCACTCCTCGGAGCACCCCCACATCTGCCCGACCTGCCAGAGGGGGTACAAGAGCCTGCTCAGCCTCCAACACCACATGGAAACCCACAGCGATAAGTGTCTATCCTGCCACATTTGTGGGGCGCTGTTCAGTAGGGAGAAGTACCTCACCAGGCATCTGATGGTGCACGAGGGCAAGAAGAATTTGTGTCAAGTTGGTCTTGTTCATTTCCATTTCATCATCATCATTCTCACAAGCGGCTCCATCATCATTATCCTGATCATCATTCTTATCCTCATCATCACTATCAGAAACATTCTGATCATCATTTACTCACCAACACTTATCAACAGATTTGCGGAAAAGCCTACCTATATATATCTGAACTCAAAAGACATCTTCTAGTCAGCCACTCTGGCCACCAAAACATTCAGGAGGCCTGTGAAGACGTTGCAGCTGCTTCTCACAGTCTGGTTAACAGTGGTCGTGGGAGAGATCATTCTGCAGCTACCACCGCCACCACAATAACAACTACTACTACTACATCTTATACTACCGATACTATTATAACTTCTATTAGTAGTAGTAATACGGCTAATACTACTCCTGCTGCTACTACAACTTGTAGTAAGAACGATTCTGCAGTGAAATTCGGCAACATAGGTGGCCCTGGCGAGCCAGTGCGACTTTTCAAACAGTACCGTTGTGAGATATGCAATAAGGTGGTTTGGTTTTTTCATGTCTCAACTGCATTTTGTGGCGACGGTCGATCACAGTTCACTGATATTTGTGCTTCCATGAAGGACACTCTAACTAACGCTCTATCGTTTTTTAATTGTTGTTTCGATGAGTTGATTTGTTCATTTATAGAGATATTTTTAATTTTTTTTATTCATCTATTCACTAAGTTTTTTCATCTATCCATTGAAACTTTCCATCCATCCATCCATCCATCCATCCATCCATCCATCCATCCATTCATTCATTCATTCATTCATTCATTCATTCAGCTATCTATCCATTGAAACTTTCATTTTATCCATCTATCTAATCTTCCTTCCATCCATCCATACATTGAAATTTTTCTTTCATTCATCCATCCATTCATCCATCGACCCAGCAACTGCAGAACAAGCCCGCCCTAACCTGCCACATGAGCACACACTCCGATAGCAAGGATTACTGCTGTGACCTCTGTGGAGCCTGCTTCAAGTCAAAGGTCGTTGCAATGGGGATGTATGTGGTTGTGATGATGGCGATGATGTTGGTTATGATGGCGATGATGTTGATTATGATGACGATGATGTTGATTATTTTGGCGATGATGTTGATTATGAGGACGATGATGTTGATTATGATGACGATGACCAACCAACCCACCGCCCATCAGAGCAACTTGTACATCCATTCGAAGAGGATTCACGAATCATTCAAACCGTACGCCTGCGAGCACTGCGGCCAGGCGTTCCTCTACCCTCACCTCCTCAGATCTCACTACCGAGTCAGAGAGAAGAATGGCAGATGTCACAGGGAGCGAGCCAGACACGGCGAGTATGTCTGCAACGTCTGTGGTGTGGTCTTCTCGACGGCCGCGAGTCTCTGGGGCCACTCTAGCAGGCACGTCAGCAGAGAAGAGGAGAAGAAATTTAGGTGCAACGATTGCGGGAAGGAGTTTGCCAAGCAGAGGTCGCTGCGAAGGCATTGCAGGATTTTCGGTCACGGCCGATCGGATGCGACAGTGACGTCTGCTGTGGCTTGTGTCGATGGAAGCTCTGGTGGTGGTCGTGCAGGCGGTAAGAAAATTGAACTGCCAGGAGGTGTTTGTAAGGGTGCAGGTTTGGCCGCTGGATTCGATGGAAGTAAAAAGAGTAACAGCGGTGCTGGTGATGACGATGGAAGACAAAATTACGATGACGAAATGATGGTGAAGAAGAAAATGGCGGTGAAAACTTCTTCGAAAACAATTGATGGTGGTGGTGGTAGGGGAAGCGATGTGGCAGGCGATGTTATTATGAAGGGTGATCTGCATGATAGGGATGGTGATGAGTACAATGATGATGTTCCTCGGGGTGGTGGTGGTAGTGGTGTTAAAGGAAAAACCGACGGTTACAACATCGATGATAAAGAGGACGATGATGACGACGATGATGAAGTTGATGTGGCTATGTTTTGCGATAACGACAACAGCGAAGATGATAAAAATTATGATGAGGATGATGAGGAGGATGGTGATAATGAAGTGGAAAGGATGGTGCTACGTATGGAAAGATGACGTTTGACTGATAATGATTCTGACCGAAATCTAAATTTTATTTTTACTGTTATTGTTGCTATTTGTCCGTATTTTTGATAGCGTTGTTGAAGCGTGCATCACCATATGTATATATACATTGGTCTCTTTCTCTCCACGAACTCACGTCGACGTCATCATTACGTCATCATCGCTTCATTCCACTCCTCACCTCTTCAACACTTTCATATCGCTTTCAATTTTCATTTACCCTTCTTAATTGTTATCTGAAATTATTTTCATTAAATAAATTTTTAAACATTCAAGTTTAATTAGTTCCATTGATGAGGCCGCGAGCAACTGATTAAAAGTAAAAGATAGTTGTAACGGAGTGTGTCTGGGCTCGTTTCCGCCTGTGTAAGTGTTCGAGGTGTACGTGTTTGTGTACGGGTTTGTGTGCGTGTTTTTGTGCGATCTTCTATGAAGGTAGGTAGCCAGGGTATTGGAGTGACCAGGATCATCGAAATCGGATATTTCACATCACGTCCGATTCCGAAAAGTGTCAAGTTGAAAAAATCTTGTTTTCCCTATTCTAAAAATGATTTTTCAAGTTTGTGTTTCTCAAAAGATACGCGTGTCTTGCCGATACGCAATCATCTTTAATACTGGCGACAATAGACGCCAGGCTTCTTAGGATGTGCAGTGAGATGTCAACTTATTAACTGTCTAGTAATTTTTGTGAAAAAAATCATTCGTACATGAAATTTCTGCCGTGAACACAACACTAAATTATGAATTCAACAAGGACTCGACATCATTTATTGTAGTTTTAATTTGAGTGCTTAAATAAATGAAAATAAAAATATATCAACTGGTCATAAAAGTTTATTTGAAAATTTTTGATTCATTAGTGGTATTTAAATGAAATTGTCGGAAAATTTTAAATCAAAGAATTTGGAGTCCGACTCATTAATTTTAGCGTTTTTGAACATTTTTTACAACGATATTCATATTGTTGGTAGGTTGTTGGTAGTATGTTGATATGTTGTTTTTATAATGAGTACGTGTGTATGTGTATATGTGCGTGTGTTTGTTTGTGTGTGTGTGTGTGTGTGTGTGTGTGTGTGTGTGTAATATTTGCATTGATGAGCACTGCAAGAAGTAAAAAATACTAATTAATAACTCCAATGACAATAAAAAATTAAAACCAGAGCACTTTATTTCGAGAGATATTTCTGACAATTTTGAAAACATGAAAACCCTTGTATCTGTTTGAAACTTAACGAAAAATCGATGGCATTATGAAATAAATATACACAAAAGATATCATGATAGCATTTGAACATAAACATTACAGATTTTTTTAAAGAATTCGTGGTATAGTATGTATGGCACCATTTATGGGAGCTAATGTGTCGTTGAAATCCGACACAACAACAACAACAGCAGCAACAACAACAGCCGCAACAACTGCCGCAACAACTGATGCAGCAACTGATGCAGCAACAACAGCTACAACAACCGCCGTAACAACTGCAGCAGCAACAACAACAGCAACAACAGCGGCAACAACAACAGCAACGACAACACAACAAGTTTTTCTTTTGCTTGTCATCATACCTGTTGTTGCCATGGGAACGTAAAGAGAGAGAGACTGCACCCAGGATGATGAGGAGCATGATGAGGAGGAGGAGGATGAATACGAAGATGATGATGATGGTGGTTATCAATTCATCGCTGTTTAGATTATTTCAATTGAATAAATATCTGCGTGTGTATGCACCCAAAAATACTTATATATATATATATATATATACGCGACTAGGGTTGGACCGGAGCTTAGCTCCGACTTCGGCAAAAAATCCAAACTTTTATCATTACTCGACAATCTTCGGCTCCGGTCGGATATAACTGCAGGATAGTTTGCCGGACGGTTGATAAGCATACCCAAGAACCGGACATGGTTTCTTATTCAATAAAGACGCATGTGCCTTGTCCCTTTCTCCTAGCAATAAAACTTCTGTGATTAAATTAAATAAAATAAACCCGTTTGAGATTTTTTTTATTTGTTGGTATGTTTAGAAAATTTTGTGAAAATATGAAAATAAAACCCACAAGTTTGTATTATGAACATCAAGTGTTTTGGATGGTTCCGTAGACAAGTGCGTTTAAAAATGCATCAGTGCACACTGCACATGCAACTCTCGCGTAGATCGAATGAACAGTACAAACAGACAGACAGACAGGCCAGAAAACTCCTGCCTACTAGTGCTTTCAATCAATACTCAACCTTCATAAGATGCTCCATCCATTCGTTCGTTCTTTTATTTAACTCTCTGTCCATCCTTTTTTTATTCATCAATCTAACATTTTATTCATCTATCTATTTATCCATATTAAGATCTATCCGTCTATCTAATTTTATTTGTGTGCACGTGTGAATGTGTATGCACGTTTGCTTGTGTCAACTTGAGTGTTCGTTTGTATCTGTGTATATGTTGTGTGTATCTAAAACTCTTGATGTATCTCACAAGTTTTGCAGTCTTGGCTTTATCTTTGATTCTAGCATGGTTCAAGTAACAAGTTTCTTAGTTACTTTTATTTACATTCATTTATTCATTCATTCATCTATTCATTCATTCGTTCGTTTGTTCATTCATTTATTCCTTATAATATACCGATTAATTTATGGATTAAAATTTTTTACCAAATTAAAACAAATGTTTAACTGATTAAGATGCCAAAGTTTCGTTTTTAAAAGGATAAGCCCATTTAAAAGTTATTAATATTTTTCTTTCCCCTATCTACCATTCAAGATTTATACGTATTCAAAATATTTTAATTCATCTAACAGCCTGCATATTGATGATAAATTGTTTGTCTTTAGTTTTTGCAAACTGCAAAGAATTTAGACTTCAAAATATCGCTAAATTCCTCTAGTCCACAGGGGTGGGCAAACTTTTTGCCGTGAGGGCCGCGTTGAAGACTATTTTACCTTTGAAGGGCCGAATATGTACTTCAATAAAAACAATTTTTCGACCATAGAAAACATTTCGACATTTCGGGAGAATTCGGTCATAATGTCTGGCTGACGTCTATTTTTTGGCACACAAGGCATCGCGGGCCGCAAAAAATACCTTCGGGGGCCACATAAAATAGCTTTGCGGGCCACATCAAATAGCTTCGCGGGCCGAAGTTTGCCAACCCCTGCTCTAGTCATTGTCCTAAAGATAATATTTAAAATCAGTGCAAACTGTTATACGCAGTTTTAAACTTTAAAATCATTGGCGGCAAAAATCAATACTAATTCAGACGTTTGGTCGACAGGTTAGCTCAGGCGACAGGTTAGTGCGCCGCCGTCGTTGTCTCTCGCACTGCAGCGACCTGCTTTAAGTACAAGGATGATCTCGAATGTTTCACTAAAGTCTAAACAAATGTTTCTTACAAATCCTTATATCAGTAACTTGAAGATTATTATTTATATATTAATATTTTTTAAATGTTTAAAATAAAATTGAGTGCGTTTCAAATGAGGTTAACACTATTTGTTACTGACCGGAATTTTTTTACATACATACATACATACATACATACATGATGGTAATGATGGTGGTATTTGCGATTGCGATGATGGTTGTAATGGTAACGATAAAAGTGGTAGTAATGATCGTGAAGTTACCAAAAAAGACTCAGAACTAAAATTGCAATTAGGTTTGTTGAACATTAGGTCAATTATGAATAAGATCAAAACTGTTCGCGATTTATTTTCTAATAATTTTGATATTTTTGTTGTTACGGAATCCTGGCATGGGTCGTCCGATAATTTATCACTTAGACTCACTCTGCCACCTGATTTTGTGTTCATAGATTTTCTGAGGCCGACCGACCCTAACCATGGTGGAATAATTGTATTTTTTAAAAATTATTTTAAATTTTATAAAATTCCGCTGCCTTTATTTAAGACGTTTGAGGCTATAGTTGTGAAATTTTATTTCAACAAAGTAACAATTGTTGTTTTTGCAATTTATCGTCCTGGGTCTTCTATTCCATCACCATTGTTTTTTGATGAGTTATCATCTGTTTTTGATCAAATATTGCTTTTAGCAAATTATGTTATTTTCATTGGAGATGTGAATATTCATGTTGAACTTTTGAACGACCCTAATGCATTGAAATTGTTTGAAATTTTTGATTTATATCAATTGATAAATAGAATAAATGAACCAACCCACGTTCATGGTGGAACATTAAATTTAATTGCCTCTAGTTCTGACCTTCCCTCACAATTTTTTTTCGTTGAGCCACCAAATGTGCATTCAGACCACAGTTTAATTAAAATTTGTTTCCCTATTTCTGTTCCCACACCTCAGAAAAAATGGAAACTTACTCGTTCATGGAATCAAATTGACGAAAATCAATTTTCTTCACTAGTTCTCGAATCACCTATTTCAGGGCCGTTCAATTCATCTTCTGCTGATACCCTGTTGGATTTGTTTAATTCTGAAATCGTGAAAATTGTGGATATGGTTGCTCCTTGTCGTTATGTCAAATCTACTCATGTACCATCTGCCCCTTGGTTTGACTCTGAATGTCGTTCATTAAAACGCAATTGTCGAAAACAAGAACGTTTGTATAGGAAAATAAAAAATGATATTAATCGAAATGCATGGCACTTAGCGTTAAAAGAAAAAATACAAAAATTTTCCCAAAAAAGAAACAAATTTTGGTCAAATCAAGTTGATGCGTTTAAAAAACAACCAAAAAAATTGTGGAATATCCTCGACACAATTTTATCTAAAAATCACAATAATAACCATTCAAATGATTTCTCCCCCAATGATTTTATGACATTTTTTGTGAATAAAATCAATAATATTCGTAGCACGACTATAGAAAATACTAACAAACCAATCCAGTTTGAGTATGTCTCTAGGGTCGTCTCTCCTGAAGCAATTGTTAATCTTTCAGATTTTCAAATGTGCACGCCAGATGAATTGCGTAAAATAGTTTGTGACTCCCCTGGCAGTTCTTGTTCTCTTGATCTGATTCCAACATACATATTTAAAAAATTTATAGATCTTTTTTTGCCATTTTTGACATTTTTTGTCAACCAATGTTTATCAACTAGCAGTTTTCCCAACCCTTTGAAACATGCTATTGTAACCCCACTTCTAAAAAAATCAAATTTGGACGACAACGTTTTATCAAATTACCGTTCTATCTCTAATCTTTCATTCATTTCTAAAGTCATTGAACGAGTTGTTATCAAACAATTGTTACAGCATTTAAACAAAAACAATTTGTTGCCAAAGAATCAATCCGGCTAT